CTTCCCTAACCACGATGATCCTCCATTTAGAAGTAGCACCTCCAGCAAAAGCAGCCCTACCACAGCACTGTGCCCGCCTGTCCATCACATCTTCCCTACCAGTTCCTTCCTGAAAATCTGAAATCTACACAACCCCCTGGCCACAGCTCCAGAAGAGTCCCGCCTTTCTTGCTCCTTTTCCTGGGACAGCAGACCAAGTCCTCTTTGGGTCCTTACTACTCAGAAGCTAAATGCATTTTGCTTGAGGCATTCATGAAGGAAAATGATAATGGTTTCATAATCTGAGGTGAATTCAAGTCTGTGGGTTTGGAGGGAGGGTGGTATAAGAAGACATAATTACTGGATGATTCTCAGAAAGTATATTTCTTCTTGCACAGAGTCTAGTTTTAGTCAACAGAATTGAGGATAAAGCTTTCTCCTGACGTTTACATAGCTGAAAAAGTATAAATTAAAGAAGGAATAAAAAGCATTACCCCAAGCTCTTCCCTTTCTTTTCCTTCTCTTCACCTTTGTCAGTTCTCAAAAACCAAACCGCTTATAAGCTGAAAATGACTGAGATTTTGTATAGCACTCCAGAGTTAGGATAAAAATCATACTGTTGGGAAAAAAAAACCATATTATTGAAACTCATGCTCTTTCCCAAGGGTGTAGGTCACAGGAGGCAGCTGGTTCCTAGTAGATAATGTGAACATTAGAACCTGCACATACAATACTTTAAAAATCTACAGTTCCCTAAATATTTAGAATACATAAAGAACCCTTAAAACTCAACAACAAAAAACCAAATAACCTCATTAAAAAATGGGCAAGGGACTTGAACTGACATTTCTCTAAAGAAGATATACAAACAACAACAAGCATATAAAAAGATGCTCAATATCACTAATTGTTAGAAAAATGCAAATCAGAACTATATCAGCTTACATCCATCAGGATCGCTGCTATTAAAAATCCAAACAGGGCTTCCCTGGTGGCGCAAGTGGTTGAGAGTCCGCCTGCCGATGCAGGGGACACGGGTTCGTGCCCCGGTCTGGGAAGATCCCACATGCCGCAGAGCCTGCGCGTCCGGAGCCTGTGCTCCGCAACAGGAGAGGCCACAACAGTGAGAGGCCCGCACACCACAAAAAAAAAAAAACAAAAAAAACAACAACAAAAAAACCAAACAAACAGAAAACAACACGTTACTAGCTAGGTTGTGGAGCAAATGAAACCCTTGGGCAGTGTTGGTGGGAATGTAAAAGGGTGTAGCTGCTATGGAAAACAGTATATGGCAATTCCTCAAAAAATTAAAAATAGAACTACCATATGATCTACCAATACCGCTTTTGGATATATATACAGAAGAATTGAAAGCAGGGTCTCAAAGAGGTATTTGGACACCCATGTTCACAGCAGCATTAGTGACAAAAGCCAAAGGTGGAAGCAATGCAAATGTCATCCACAGATGAATGGATGAAGAAAATGTGGTCTATACGTATAATGGACTATTATTCAGCCTCAAAAAGGAAGGAGATTCTGACACACGCTATACCATGGATGAACCCTGAGGACATTATGCAAAGTGAAATAAAGTAGTCACAAGAAGACAAATACTGTATGCTTCCACTTACATGAAGTACCCAGAGTAGTCAATCTCATAGAAACAGAAAGTAGAATGTGGTTGCCAGGGGCTGGGGGAGGGCAAGTGGACAGTTGTTGTTTCATGGCTATAGAGTTTCCATTTTACAAAATGAAAAAGTTCTGGAGTTTTACAACAACGTGAATATATTTAACGCTACTGAACTACACGTTTAATAGTTAAGGTGGTAAATTTTATGTGTATTTTACCACAGTTGAAAAAACCAAATCTCTGGCTCCCAGTATGCTAGTGATGTTAACAATAACACCTCAGACACACCCAGGAACTTCTCTCTGAGAGGCCCAGAGGGCTGGCCTACAGACTCGCTGATGCCAACTCAAAAGGACGGCCGAGGATAAATTCAACTACATGGTTGCACTCATCGGAGTTTTATTTTTTATTTTATTTTTCTCCACTAACATGAATATTTTGAATATCTCACCATTACACTCCTCTGAAACTCAGGCCACCCAAACATCTGTGGATGCCGATTCTGAAGTGCTACTCTGCATTATCTGGGATTCTGGGGAAAAGAGGCCTGCCTAAATGTCAGGGTCCAGGAGACGAGGGATATGTGAAGTCAACCCCCTTCCTCTTCTTTTTTTTTTTTTTTTTTTAAATTAATATTGTAAATTGGCATTCTGGTGTATAAATCAGGTTCCTCTGTGTTTGCTTAATATGAATTAGTTCCTCAAAGTTGTTTATTAATTAATTAATTTATTTTTGCTGTGTTGGGTCTTCGTTTCTGTGAGAGGGCTTTCTCTAGTTGCGGCAAGCGGGGGCCACTCTTCATCGCGGTACGCGGGCTCCTCACTATCGCGGCCTCTCTTGTTGCGGAGCACAGGCTCCGGACGCGCAGGCTCAGCGGCCATGGTTCACGGGCCTAGTTGCTCCGCGGCATGTGGGATCTTCCCAGACCAGGGCTCGACCCCCTGTCCCCTGCCTTAGCAGGCAGATTCTCAACCACTGCGCCACCAGGGAAGCCCCCTTCCTCTTCTTATTTAGAGAATTCAGTAACATGCCCATGCAGTCCCTCCCCATAAAATTCAGCATCTTTTCTCCAGATAAAAGATGACCACTTCTCTCTTTCTACTTTTGACCTTCACACTGAACTGGCAGTACTTCCTGTCTAAGAATTACACGTGAGATTAATATTCCAGGTGTTCTCCACCATCCAACACGATCTACCACCTTCTGCCATTCTGAGACCTCTTCTTTTTGTCTTTTTTCTTTTCCGGAACCACTTCCAGATTGGGGGATCAAAGGCACTGCATAATAATGACACTTTATAAACCTTCTCTTGCATCTCAAACACAAAGGAGCACAGTGACGGTAGGAAGCTGGAGAAATGGCTGGGGAGAGAACAGATTCCCCCAGGAGAAAGGGAAACAGCTTTTGGAAGGATGCACTCCAAGAAAAAAGATGTCAGGTCCATCTGGAAAGTATTTAACAAAATAAAAAGCCCTTTTCTGCTATGAGCAGCAGATTAGCAGAATACAAAACTCCCTGATCAACAAACCTCTAGGACCAATTAAAAATCAAAACAAAACCGAAAGAAGAGCTCCTTCTAGGGATGTCCAGCCATGGCTAAGTTGTAAACCTCTTTCTGGTGCTCAGGAGAGCTCCTGGTACCACGTGCAAGAGACCTTTCCACTGCAGTGCTCCTCCATGTGTCTCCTCCAGGCATTTATTTGTGCAAAGGGCTCGAAACATCAAATAAAGTCCAATCTCCCCTCCAGCTCCGACCCCCAGTGGAAACGTGGGCTGCCTCAGTCAGAGCTAGTGCAGGGTTTCTGAAACCACTTGGGCTGAGAACTCCAACTTAGAATCCTCCCATAGTCTGTCAGCTTCCTCTCCATCTTCTTGCATAACGTGGTAGTAAAACATGAAATAAATGTGGCAATCTGAGGACATCATCAACAATGATGTTTTTCCTCTTGCCTCACAGTTTTGGTTATTTTGCAGTACTGGGACATAAACAACACACGGGTCCACTAACCCCTCACCCCACTGTCGTTCTGTTTTCCAGCACAGACACTTTGTAGTACACTTTGGAATGAAGAGAAGGAAACAAGAAGCTCCCAAACCTGGGCTCTTCTCTGCCTTTCTCTCCCTGCCTCTGTTAACACGTGAACAGCCACAGAAGAAGGCTAGTTTGTTTTCAAATGGCCCAGAAAAAAAGCTCGGCAACCTCTCTGGCTAACCTGTTTTAGTGCTTAACGAGAGCCCAAGAAGGTGGTGACTTCCTTCCTCTCACTCAGATTTGAGACACTTTCCTTTGTCATACAGGTCTGAAAGCGGCAGGCCGTTGTGTAAGAGCCTTTTACTGAACTTCTTTATTAAACTGTCCCTCGAGGACCACAGGATGAATAATCTTGGGCCCTTTAGCTGTTTCTGGGCTCTAATTTCCAATGCTTTGACCATCTCTTGGGCTCTTTTCTAGATTCCTCAAATCTTCCCTTCTAGAGGAAGAACAAGCTGAAGACACAAAGCTCTAGTGACAGACCTCATGGCTTCTATACACCCTGCACATGACAGCCCCAGGCTGTGCTCTGAAACCCTGGGGCAGGGGGAGGCAGGGGACTTCCTCATCCCACGTTCAAACTGCCCACACCCCTCTACTCCCATTTTCTGTTAATAAAAGAAGGAAAATTGCAAAAAAAAAAGAACACAGAAAGGAAGAGGGCAGAAAAAAATATATAAAAGAAAAGGGAACTTAAGAATTTATAAAGATACAAGAAATTATTTTAACAGGAAACACAAGCCAAAAGATTCGTTCTGCCAGGCAAAAAGTGCATAAAAACAGCAAACTTTTGCATGCAGCCTTGCAGCGAGTTTGTCCACACACTATTGCTGCACTTTCTACCGCCCTTTGAGCACCCAGCGTCTGCCTCCAAACACAAAATGATGTGTCCCAATGTACGCTAATAGGTAAACTCGAGGAGAGGCTTAGCTGGATTCCATGAAATAAGTAATTTAATGACCATCTGAAGGTTTGTTTTTTAGGGTACAGAAGTTCTGAATAGGGAAGCGGGAGGTTCTGAGAATTTCATTTTCATAATAATGGCTTGCTGCTGGTTCCTCTAATAACATGTGGCTACCAGCTACGCCCTGGCTCTTACATCCAAAGCCGGAGCAATTTCTCCACATTGCAAAGAGTTAAAGACGGTTTAAGGAAAGAGAACCAGTTAGGTATTTTAGAATGGCTATGAAAGATTTTTCAGGGGGAGAAAAAAAAGGCACTAACCTGTGTTGTTTTAATCCGCTGAAATGACCCAGGTTCTCAAGTTCCCCCTCTGTCTTCTGGCCAGCTTCCTGTAAGTGTGGCATGTGACATTATACTTCCTTACTGCACCTTCTCTGACTCGTTCAAGGAGCCGTCAGAGGCATGTGATAAGACCATCTCCCTGCCTGCTTCACGCTGGGGTCTGAAGAATCCTGTGTCTGAAGAAATGCTGTGTCCTCGCAGGGGTCCCCAGCTGGCTTCAGGCATCCCTAGGGCTCAGGTAAAGAGGAGAGAAGCAAAGGGGGTGGGGGGCCGGGGACAGTAGTATCCGGGCTCCTGGCTCTTCTGACTCCACAAGGAGGGAGGGGGAGAAAGGGACAGACAGAGACTCTTGGGCCCCAGGCTGCCCATCTTGGGGTAGGGGCGTCTGAGCTCACTGGGGCTTAGGCGCTGTCCTATCACCAGGACAGGCAGGCCTCGGTGCTACTGCCCTGGGAACTGCTGAGGAAGGGCGGCCGTGGTGCTGCACCCAGGGTGTCCCCAGGACGCTCTCTGGAGGGCACCAGCCCGGAGGAGCACACCCAGGGCCTGGCTCGTGGTTCTGCACCCTGCAGCGACAGGGGCCACTCACCCTGAGTTTCCGGGGACAGTCTCAAGTTCACATCCCGTCTAGCTAGTCCTGCTGACGGACTGTGTGCCCTAATTCTGGGCTCAGCAAACAAAGCCCCAGTACTCCCTGCCTCCCAGGGCTAAATAACTGGCACATACCTCCCCCCTGCTGGCCTCCAAAATATGCCAGCCTTTTGGTTTCCCCTGAAAGGGCTGACTTTGTCTTCCTGTGGGATGGTGGGGGGGTCCTGGCGGCCCGTGAGCCCTGGCCACGGGGGACCCTGATGCTGGCCTGGCAAGAGCACCTGGGAGAGGCCTGGAGCGGGGAGGCCTGGAGAAGAGCTGAGGCAGGACCAAGCGAGAAGTCCAGGGCTGCCATTCTAGCTTACTTGTCCCTGTGGTCAGTACCCGCCTCTTTCCTTTTATAATTCCTCTAGCTCTCTGGAGGTCCAACACACTGGAATTTGTGGATGTAGGAAGTGGTATGTGGGAGTAAAACGATGTCCTGGACAGAGGGGAATATTCTGCAGTTTGTGCAACTTGACTCAGTGCAGAAACCCCAACGTTGCCTCTATTTGGCTACGCTGGCACAATTCTTTTTTTAAAAAATGCTTTTAAAGGCATTTTTTAGTTGTTTTTTAGGAAGGTAACCGTAGACAAGCTCACTGTTCCACGTCTTGAAAATATTACCCTATAATTCCCTCAAAGAATTTTTCCATGTGAGTTTCTACCGAGTAAGGGAACGAACCCCGGGAGTCAGAACCCTGGAGAACACTAAAACCCTGAAGTCTCACCACATAATTACATTTCTGGCTTTGAAAACATGCATAACTGTTTTTACCATTTTGACAGTTGATGGCTGGTTTTCTGATTGAACTGTACAGTTAGATTAGCCAGTTGAGTGAGTCAAGATGGCTGAAAGCACGGCATTCGCTTTAAAATAGGAATAATGGTAGAACTTTGCCATCTTGGAAAAACAAAATACTCCATCGATGATAAATAATAATGAGTCCATTTAAATTTATTCAGAAGTGTCACATTCTGGGCTAAGCTGCCAGTTCCATTTTTTTCAGCTAAGCAGTTACATATGTTCTGCTGCAGCCATGCTCTGTGTGGAATTTTTAAAGGTCTCAACAAAAGGCCTTATAACTTCCTTTTAAACTCTAGAATCTGGCCTCCTGTCCATGAATTTTTTTTTTCTTTCTGTTTAGGCATTAAAAGAATTTTAATAGACTTTATCTTTTAGAACCGTTGTAATTATAGACAAATCAAGAAGATAGTAAGGTTCCCACACATTCTGTATCCAATCTCCCCACTATTAAAATCTTACATTTAATATGATGGATAAATAATTAAGAAACCCAATATTGACACATTATCATCAACTAAAGGCCATAGGTTATTTAGATTTCCTTAATTTTTTCCCCCAATGTCCTTCATCTGTTCCAGGATCCCATCCAGGACACCATATTACGTTTAGTCATCAAGTCTCCTTAGACTCCTCTTGGCTGTGACAGTTTCTTAGACTTTCCCTGGTTTTGATGACCTTGACAGTTCTGAGTACTGGTTAGGTATTTTGTAGAATGTCCCACAATGGGGATCTTTCTCATGATACTGGGGTGATGGGCTGTTTGGAGGAAGACCACAGAGGTAAACTGCCATTTTAATCACATCAGATCAAGCACATATACTATCAACATAATTTAATACTATTGACGTTGGCCTTGATCACCCGAGGTGGTGTTTGTCAGGTTTCTCCACTGGAAGGTTGCTCCTTACCCGCTTCCATACCATACACTTTGGAAGGAAAAGCTTGAGGGTGGAGTATCTATATAAATTATTTTGAATTCTTCTTCACGGAAGATTTATCTCTTCTCCCCATTCAACAATGTTTTCAACCGTTTATTTACATCAGTATGGCCTCATAGGTATTCATTTTATACTTTGGGTTCTAATTCAACACTATTTTACTAATTGTGTTGCTCAAATTGTTCTACCTTTGACTGGTGAGACCTCTTTCAGTTGGCTCCTGTGCTCCTTTGACATTCTCCCACCAATATTTTGTGTCTTGGTTTTTGTTTTTGAGCATTTCATTATTTTCTGGCACTAAAATATGTTCCACGCTTATCACGTATAGTACCGCCCCAACGGTCCATGGCTTATTTTGTCTTGACAAGAGAATAAAAGAAAATAAATCTATGGGCCTGAGAAAACTTAAATTTGCCTTCAGTTGTCATTAGTTCTGCCCCATGTATTAGTGAACATTTTAAAAGTTGTTTTTATAAAATTAGTCCTATCCTCTACCAGCAAGAAAACACCAAAACATCAACTGTGTGAAATTCTGCATTTCCTTAATTCCAAGATGCATGTTTGTGTTGATAGTGCTTTTTGCCTTCATATTCTAACATTTCTGGAACCAAAGTATACATTTAATACCATGTCCTTGCCCCCGCCTCCTCACCTGTCATAAAGTTGATGGCACACCTTACAGCTGATGGTGTCTTGGGAATGGAGGAAGTAGAGTAGACGATTAATTCTTGTTTGGACCGTAGACGTCATTTAACTACTTTCACTGATATTTTTCCCCCACTGAACAAATATTTTGACTAAAGTGGTTTGATGTGTAGCATCTGCAGATTTTTACCTACTCCCAGCCACATTCTAACTTTACCTCAAACCACATATGCTCATCAAGCATTAAATTCTCTTCAATTTTTTATGGGTTTACTATCTGATTCCTTTTATGTTTACCAGGTCACTTTTTCAAGATCTCAGAATCCATCATCATGCCTGAGGAGCCTAATGCCGACACTAAATGGTTGCAAGAATGATGTCTCACTCTTACACATGAGGACTAAAAGTGCTTACTGGTCAGAAGCAGATCAGGAAGGACTTCTTGGTCTCCCCCTTTCCTACCTGGGGAAGCCATCTGACTACATAATGGCAAAACTGGTCATGTCTTTCTCTGTGGCCAGGAACTCATGAACTGCCGCTGCTTTGGGAGTGTCATGCTTTATAGATTTTTTTCTTTTAATGGACAGAGACTTGTTTATCTAATCACCACGGGCATATTTCAAGACAGTCACAGATAAAATGCCCAGTCTTTTCACCCAGGCAGATAGAACTTGGGTACTCTAAACATCATTACATGTCCTACTCCTGTGTAAAATATACTAACATACTGACTGTGCCCTAACCATCTCACCAGCATCCAGAAGAGATTGGAAGAGATGCCACACTGACTTTTTTTGGCAGCCCTTACCACATGCACGGAGTTGTCCCTTGGTATCTGCAGGGGATTGGTACCAGGACCCCCCCCCCCCACAACACACACACACCAAAATCCACGGATGCTCAAGTCCCTTACAGTCAGCCCTGTGTATCCGAGGTTCCACTTCGGTGGATACAGAGGGCCCAGTGTACTTTAATTCTCACGGCAATCCTTTGAGGTGGGTACTTGTGATCCCCACTTCACAGATAAGTAGCCATGTCAGAGGAGCTAAATAACCACCCAGAGGCCCTTGATAAGTTTGAAGCCAGAGACTCAGAGCCTAATGCTTCTCTTTGCTATAGATGGTTTACCATCTATAACTCACAAACGGGCACTTTATTGAATACAGTCTTGTTCTCTAATTATTTTTTGCACATGCTTTTCACCTCAGCCAAACCTAAGTGACAGTGAGGACAGGAACAGTGTCTTTTAGCCCATTAACTCAGCTTTCCAGTCTCATTCCAGCAGCTTTCCTGTTAACTCTGAACTTTTGCCTAACTGCCAATCAAATTTTTCTTATTGGAAAAAATTCACAATTTTTCTCATAAAGGTAAATAATTTAACATCATAATTTCCCTCCCCCTACTTTGTTGTTTAATTTTGTTTTTCATTTATTAGCTTCTTAAATTCTAAGCTTATTTTCTTTTCAGTCCTTTAAATAAAAGCCTTAACTTTTTATCTAACTATATTTTTAGTACAATCCCCATAATTCAGTGCACTGTATTTTCATTGTTAATTTTAAAGTAGTCTATAGTTGCAGTAGTGATTTCCTTTTTGATCCAAGAATTATTTAAAAGGACCATATCTTAGTTTCCAAGTGCTTGGATGGAGGTAGGGGCAGGAGCCATCTTGTGTAACTTTCAATGCTATGTTATTGTTATATGTCTACTTTTTGGTTAGTTTAAGTTTCTTTGTGGTGTAGTATTTCATCAATTTTTGAAAATGATCCATGGTCTTTTAAAAAAGCTGTGTATACTTCCTATTTGTTGAGTTAGGTTAATAATAATAACTATGTTATTCAAATCTTCTGTTCCTACTTAATTTTATTTACTTGATAAAATTCTGAAAGTATTTTGTTAAAGTCTCCCACTATGATTATGGAAAAGTTTATTTATGCTTTAAATTTTTTAATTTATTTTTATTTGCATTATTTTGCTTGTATTTTTAACAAATTTTAATTTAATTCAGTGCTAAATGTTCAGTACATAAAGTTTCATTGTTATTGAATCTTGTTTGATTTATATCTATTCTTTTATGTCTCGTTCAATATTTCTTTTTACATTGAATCCCACACTTTTTAGAATTAATATTACTATCCCTATTTTTGTTTTGTTAGTTAGACTTCATCAACCTATCCCTTTATTTTCTGCCTTTCTGTGTAATTTTGGTATACAAAGATTCCTAAAGACAGCATTTAGCTGGATTATCTTTTTAATCAATCTGAGAGTCACTGATTTTAACATAGGAATTTAACCTAGTCACATTTATTGTTATATGTTTATCTTATGCTTGCTATTTTATCATATGGTTTTCTTCTTACTTTTTTTCCCTCTTTTCTTGACCTTTGCTGATAGACTATGGTTTCTATTATTGTAGCACCCCTAGCTCTGTGTGTGTGTTTTAATATCTAATGGTTTAGAAATCCTACCTATATTTTTTTCTAAAGATCAAATACATGTGACCTTTCTTGGTGAACATCAGATAACTGCATAGTAGGACCCTGTTAATTGGTAAGGTCAGTCCATTGCTTTGGGAAATTTAATGGTAGATTCATGTCAGTAGCAATAATAGATTTTGTGTATATATGGGAATGACACTAAATAGGTATTAGAAACCCTTCTAAAAGAGTATGTGACCAGATCTCCATTCACTTCCCTTCTCCCTTCCTACAACAAGGACTGGCTACTACAGCTTTCACAAATCTTGTGGATGAGTGTGGGGTAGAGGGGCAGTCAAGAACCTAGTGGTTGGGATACAGCCAGGAACATCTTAAGGAATGCTTCTGCAAATTCTGGACTCTGAGATATACATGCACTTTGGAGATCTGTAGAAGTATCTGTAGAAGGGAGGCTGTCAGGGTGAGTTTCCTGCTACTTCACTTCCAGTCTCTAGAAGTCACCATCAGCTGAGAAATCTAATCTAGAATTAGCTAAGAGTGCAACAGTAAGACCACAAGAATGTAAACATACCCTCTAAAGAGGTGAAGAATCCAAATGAGAAAATAAATGTTGCTAGACCTGCTTAGGAGGCTAGAATTCTGAGTTTCTTAATGTCTAGTTAAGAAAGCTCAGTAATCAACAAGAATCCACCTTTTTTTCCCCCTAAAAATGAGGTGGTTTCCACTTTTTTAAAACTTTGATATAGGTGCAGGGGTGATGGAGAAAATTCTGGCCATAAATACCTATGTATGTGTATTCTTTGTATGTGTTTCTATAAGTGCATGTGTTTGAATAAAGGTTAACATTAAAATTCCATATTTAATTTTTCATGGAGAATCCCAGTGGGAGGGAGGGAAGAGGGATAAAGGTGAAGCAACTGTTTGAAGACCTGCCATTAACTCTCAATTTACTGGACTGAGATCCTGGTTTGGATCACAAAGAAGAAGTGATTAAATACATTAAAAGAGTGTTTCTGTTCTAACATATTTTAAAAATTAATTTAGCCACATAAAATTTTATGAAGTAAATCCTTTTTTAAGCATTCTCATAATACAAAAGGGGAGACTAAGGGATTCCAAGAGTTGAAGGGATTTGTTCAAACAAGTAAATAAGTAATAGAACTGGGATTTAAACCCAAAGCTTCTGACTACAAGTCCAGTGTCATTTCCAACATATACCAAAACTTCTGTTTCAGAGAAAGCTAAACCCATGCACACCACATGCATGTTTTGCAGAGAGAAATTGCAGCAAGGCACACCCTTGGCAGTCAGTGCTTCACCATGTAGGTCAAACAGTCCAGCCGGACCCCAGAGCAATTGTTTCTACACTGACCCTCAGGGGTTTTGGGAGCATTATGTCATGCCAAAGGCTTTCCTCATTAGCAGTCATGCAAAAAGACACCATGCACCACATTTCTGAGCACTTGGAACAGCTAAAAAGAAGATGAAAAGTCAAGAAAGTTCTCTTGATGATGCACCGCACTCTGGTACATTTGACTATGCCATTGTAATGTAATCTAAGCCAGAATCATCAAGCACTCTGGCCAGCTGTCTTTAAAGCCAGAGCCCTACCTGACAGAGTCATTCTTTGGCATACTACGGGACCTGAGGCCAACAACCAAACTGGCTGTTTCCAATTTCACACAGCTTAATTCCAAATAACTAGGCCCCTCACTCATCTTTGCTGTTGATCAAAACATTGAAAGCATATGGCAAATGCCCTTGTTCAAAAAAAGACTGGCTAGGGGCACACAGAAAGCCTTGACATTCACCCAGCATGAGTTTTAAGAAGGCTCATAAACACAGAACTCCAGAGGTTGCAGACAGTATTGAGAACCAAGACCCTCTCACATATTTCTTGCTCCTTTCTTTTAGGCTGAACAGAGAAAAGAAGAATATAAGGCAATCTTACAATTCAGAAGTGAACCAAGGTTACTGGGAGAGATCATGAGTGGGTATTGCGCAGATCTGTAGCCCTGATTCAGGATTTGTGTTTTTCTCACACGTATACATAACATGGGACCAAGAGAACAGCTAACTAATTGCCTGTTTTCACAATCTTCCTACTCAGATGCATCCCTCCCTTCCACATTGAAGAGCACATAGAATACGGTAGAATGGGTAAACAAGCCCATGTCGTTCCTAAAAGGAAGGATTCTGGAATCAAACTACCTGGGTTCAAATCCCAGATCCATCACTTACTAATTGCAGTGAATTACTTTATTCTTTAGGTCCCAGTTTACTCATCTGTGACATGCAGATAAGCTTCTGAGTATTGAGTGTGACGCTGCATTCAAAGAGCTTAGCCAGTGCAGTGCATAAACGGTGGCTCCTGTTACTGTTAGTAGGTGGAAATTTTATTAGGAAATTCTACATTAGAATTTCTTACAAGAAATGCAATCAGGGACTTCCCTGGTGGCATAGCGGTTAAGAATCCACCTGCCAGTGCAGGGGACACGGGTTCGAGCCCTGATCCGGGAAGATCCCACATGCCATGGAGCAACTAAGCCCGCGTGCCACAACTACTGAAGCCTGCACGCCTAGAGCCCGTGCTCCACAGCAAGAGAAGCCACCGCGATGAGAAGCCCACGCACCGCAACGAAGAGTAGCCCCTGCTCGCGGCAACTAGAGGAAGCCCGCAAGCGGCAACGAAGACCCAATGCAGCCAAAAATAAATAAACAAATAAATAAATTTATTAAAAAAGAAAAAGAAATGCAATCAGAGTGAGGCAATGGGCTTTACTTCTGAGGGTGCTGGGTAAACAGGAAATAAAAAATATTCAGAAATCAGAGGCAGTGGAGCTACAGGTCCTCCAGTCATTCTAGAGAGGCACAGTCCATCCAGGAAGTAGAACAGGAAATCCATCTGCATACTCTAACTTTGGAAGTGGTGTAGCATTTATGCTTCTAAATTTGGAAGAGATGGATGTATTTGTGTCTGATCAAAAAATTAGGAGGAAAATGGTTTGTGAATTATATCTCCATTAATTTTTTTTGAATGATGAAGGGTTGCATAGCCAGTGAAAAACTATGTGGATGAGTTAGAGAGGTTTAGCAGTGGCCATGAGTGTAGGGAGAGGAACAGATGGCTACACAGAATTTTGGAGAAATTGTTTATGTGGTGCAAACTGTAACAGCTTTAAGCCATGCCTTTTAGAAAACCTTAGATGAAAGAGATACATTACTCTTCAAGGCTTTCTGGCTTTCTGATGTTTTCTTTGAATGAGACTCCAGGCAGGATCTGGACCATGTGGGGCCTCTAGATTTATTCAGGTTACAATTAGAGTGTGGGTCACATCCAGCTGAGCAACATCAAACCCAACCACATGTGTTTATCACGTATTTTCTGGATTATGATTTGG